TAAGCGAAAGGCTACTGTATTCGACAGCATGTGGGACTGGTACCTTAACTTTTCTCAGTTTAAACATAATGATGTTTCGCGCGTCCAAGCTGATAGCGCGCGTTCCTCCCATCTTCGAACATGACAAATGCCTACGTCACTTGAGCGTTTATCTGAAAAACACAAGAAATGGTGTGAGGGTAAAAAGCTACTCGACCGAATTATTTCGACAAGACAGCGCAAGGCCAACGTCTGCGATACTTGTGGTCCGGTGGCTGTACCTGCTGAGGAGATCACGGGTTTTGCACCCGTCGAATTGTTTATCCATCGCAACGTGGCAAAAATCGTGGTAAGCAATTACACTAGCGCGCTTTCGGCTGTGCGGTATGATGTCGAACACCTGTTGTGATGGTGTCAATGCTGCCGTGAAAAAGAAGCATTTGATTCTTTTAGAACATTGGCTGCGCAATATTCGTGACGGTATGATGCAATATGTTATGTATATCGACTGGAGCTCGTGTTTTATTTGTTTTGTGTGCTTGCTGTGGTAGTCCAGCTTCATTGTGACGAGTTAAAGAGAATTGAGATCCACTAACAACGTTTGCGTCGTATGTGGAGCTCAACACCATTGAGCAATGCATTAAAGTGCTTAAGACTGGGCTAGTGCAAAGCCATTAAGTCAAGTACGGCTGTCCACGCATTTACGGCCTTGTGTGCGGCCTACAGAACGGCCAGCTGAACCAGTTGGACATTGATTTTCGTCGTTCACTCAAATTATAGATTCCATTCTTTCACTAAAGAAATGCTCCATTGCGCCGATCCCAGCATCAAGGTAACATGATTTGTTCTCTGCTCGAAGTAGTGATATCCAGCAGAGAACTCAGCCAATTAATTGTTACTAAGTGCGAGGAAGAAAATATAAATTGTTTTCAAGTGCGAGACCAGTGAGAGCGCAAGTCGCAGAAAAGCATCCAAAAGCTCTAACTATTGGGTGGCAAAGTCCATGATCGTCACACCTTCATTATCCTCTTGAGTACGGGTGCAAAATATTTAACTTTCTTTACTCCAGAATCTGCCAGCTTGATGATGGATGGTGAAGCTATTCTGTGTCATCGTTGGTAAGGCGGGGAGCGCCTTTCCCGTTACTATTGACGAGAACGAGACGGTCGGAGACTTGAAGAAGTTGATAAAGGCGGAGAACTCAGCGACGATCACATGCGACGCAAAGGACCTGCAGCTTTTTCTGGCGAGGAAGGACGGCGGGTGGCTGACGAGCTTCACTATAGATGTGAAGAAGCTGAAGGAAGGCGAGAAGACTGCTCTTATCGAAGAATTAACGCACAAAAAAAAGGAGCTGCAGGGAGAGTCCGGCCTCAAGAAAGTGTTGGCGGGGATGCTATTGCCATCCACCCATGAAATTCACGTGCTGGTGGTCAAAGGAAGTGCCAACAACTTGTCTGATGCACGTCAGGATAGCACAGATCAATGGCTGACGGAGTTCCACACGAAAAAAATTGAGT